CACCTGTAGTTCTGTCTACTTGGAAGGCCAAGGCTGAAGGATCACTGGAGTCCAGCAGGTCGATGCTGGGGTGGCCATGAGTGTGCCACTGCACTCCAGCCTGAGTGAAAGAGTGAGACTCTAACTGAAAAAAATAAAATAAAATAAAATAAATAAAGTGAGGCTGCTTTAGATCAAGTCTTCTCCTAGACTTTTGTTCTTAAATTGTCACTTACGTAACTGGAAACAGTGAGAGGAAAACATTGCTTTTTAGGTTTTGAGGGCTGCAGTATTCTACAATTAGGACTTCTCAAAGGGATACCATGCTAATACCATCCTTAGTCTGTGGTCTTGCTTGTTCTGGTCATAGAATTTTTTTTTTAATTGGTCTAAAATAGCTATCTTTAGTCAGCCTTAAAGAATCCACTTCCTACATACTTTCCTCTTTATATAAGACCAACTCCCTCATGGGACAGGAATAGTTTTGAGATTTCAGAAGATATGTCTTATTTGGAAAAAACAGCAGATACCATGTAGGTTTATTTTATTTAAGCAAAAACACTAATCAGCTCACCAGAGAAACATCAACAGTTCAGGAATGTGTGAAGGACCAAATGAAATAATGTGTCTTCTGTTGAAAAGTAATGAGAACTCACCTAATATGCATGATTTAATCTATAAGAAAAGCTTAATTTGGGACAGCCTTCCATTCTGCCTTCCTTTCCTTCCCCTAATTCAGCCACCAAATGCATTATTCAGCAAGGCTAAGCCATCCAGGGTAAAATGTCTCATGTTTCTAGCCATTTTGCCTCATGTCCAAGATATTAACAGGACATTTGGAGATGATTTTAAAGATGATAAGATACATCCCTTTGGGAAAAAAAGCAGATTAGGGCTTCCAGCAAGCCCATTGCTAAAGACATTCATTGAAACCTAATATCTTAAAAACATTTCCATCTAAAGGTGTGGCCATCTTAAAAAGGCTTTTCAGGGAAACACTCCTGTTTGGGGTTTATGAAAACAGCCTGGCACTGAGGCCAACTCTCATTTCCAGTGGATGAAAGGAGACCAGAGATTCCCTATGCACAGACAGAAAAGTCTATCAATATCTGCTGACTGAGTCATAAATTCAGCAGGATGAAGATACAACTTGAAATAAACGATTTGAACAGTCTTTAAATATTTTGACAACTACTCCTGTTGTCAGCTGGATTTGGGACTCCAAAGTTGTTACTTGACAGTACCATCTGCCTCAGGGGCAATTGCTTTATTATTTTTTGTGGTTAGGCCATTTTTCCAGATGTTTCCTCATCCTTAAAAGTTAATAGGGGGAAAAAAAAAGAATACAACCAGGCACAAAGAAGATTGCTGGCCCAGCAGCAGCTGCAGTCACAGTCTGACCTTCTAGAACACGGACGCTTTACTTTTTCTCCTGTCCAGTAAAGGAAGGACAACCTGTCAGTCAAAAGAATTCCCTTCTGTGACAACACATGGAAACAGGGAGGGCCCTGTCGTCCAGGAGCTTGCATTCTAGTGGGAGAAAGAGAGACAATAAGCATAGAAACAAACAAAAAAAAAGTCATGTCAAATAGTAATACTTGTTATTCGGGAGGGAAGTAGGAGAATGAGACATAGTAACCGCAGGATAGAGGTGGGTGGCTATTTTAGAATGATTGAGAAAATTCTTTTATGGGAGATACTACATCTGAAATAAAAGCTGAAAGATGACTAGTGGCTAAATTACTTTTTAAACTTTAGAATGTCTTTTATACTTTCTTTGTATATGGGCTTATAATTTTTTGGTAGTTTGACTGTACACCTAAAGAAAAAAAAGTCTGACAAACCCAAGTCATCCAAGCAAACAAACTCAAGTCTTTGTCTCATCTGATATTATAATAGTCTATGTAAACTTATAAGTTATTTCTATATGCCTTGTATTTTTTAATTTTCTATTTTATTTATTTTATTTTATTTTTAAGACGTGGGGTAAAATTCAGCATTAGGTATACAAGTGATTATTGTACAGGTGAAGTTTGGGCCTTCCTTTGGTCCCCACTTCACCTGGTTTGAGATCAGATACCTTATTGATATTGTGTGCCCCCCACCCCCAGCAGTTTCCCACTACTGCCAATCCCTTTCTTATAGTTTTGTGATAAATGTTCAGGGCCTGCTTACAAGTGAGAACATGTGGTACTCAGTTCTTTGTCTCTGTGGTAGATCACTTAGTATGATAGTCTCTAAATCCATCCAAGTTGTTGCAAAGTCCATAATTTTGTCCTTCTTCTTGGCTGCATAATCTTCTGTGTATATGTACCACATTTTTTTCCAGTCCACTTTCAATGGGCAGCATGGTTGGATCCATGTTTTTGCCATTGTGAATAGTGCTACAATAAACATGCATGTGCAGGTATCTTTTTTATAGATTGATTTGAGCTCCTCCGGATATATTCTCAGAAGGGAGATTGCTGAGTCCTACAGAAGGTTGATTTTTAGATATCTTGGGAATCACCACACTGTTTTCCGTAGAGGTTGTACTAGTTGACACTCCCACCAACAGTGTAGAAGTGTTCCCTTTCCCGGCAACGTCTCCAGCATTTGTTGTTTTATGAGTTATTGATGATGGCCAGCCATCCTAACTGGAGTTAGGTGGTATCTCAGCGTGGTTTTAATTTATATTTCTCTGATAATTAGTGAGGCTGAGCATTTTTCATGTATCTGCTGGCCACACATACATCTTCTTTTGGGAAACGTCTATTCATATAGTTTGCCCACTTTTGAATGCAGCTGTTGTTTTTTTTTTCCTTTTGGCACATTTGAGTTCCTTGTAGATCCTGGATGTTAGGCTTTTGTCAGATATACACTTGGCAAATATTTTTTCTCATTCTTTGGGCTGTCTCCCTCCTCTATTAATGGTTTCTTTTCCTTTGCAGAAGCATTTCACTTTGATACAGTCATATTTATCTATCTTATCTCATATGGCATGAGCTTTGGGGGTTTTGAATAGGAGTTGTATGCCAGTTCCAATTCCTATAAGGATACCTCCTGCATTTTCTAAAGTTCTAATACCTCTTCCTAACCAGAGAACTGAAAAACCTTTACAATGAACACTACAAAACACTGCTCAAAGAAATCGAAGATAACACAAACAAATGAAAAAATATTCCATGCTCATGGATTGGAAGAATCAACATTGATAACATGTCCATCCTACCAAAGGCAATCTACAGATTCAATGCAATACCCGTTAAATTGCCAACATGATTCTTCTCAGACTTGGAAACAACAATACAGAAATTCATAAGGAAACATAAATGACCATGAATAGCCAAAACAATACTCAGCAAAAGAAACAAAGTAGGTGGTATCACACTTCCAGACTTAAATTTTACTATAAGACTACAATAATCGAAACAGTCTGATATTGGTACAAGAATGGGCATATAGACCAGTGGAACAGGATAGAGATTCCAGAATCAAAACCTCAATTTTTCAGACAACTCATCTCGACAAAGCTTTCACCAACAACCGCTGAGGAGAGGAGAACCTATTCTGCAAATGGTGCTGGGAAAACTGACTGACCACATGCAGAAGAATGAAACAGGAACCCTACCTATCACCATACACAGAAATAAACTCTAAGTGTTTTTTTTTATTTTTTAAGTGCCACATATTATTCATGGCATAATTGGAATTCATTATTATTTAGCTTTCTGAAACTAAAATAAAAAACATTAAGAAGCAAATTCTTACCTTATGATGCAAAATAAAGTTCTCTTTTATGCTTAAGTGTCAGTGTCTTATTTTTATAAACTTATTTCTCAAAATACATAGTAGCCTCAAGAAATTTTAACACTGGTACTAATAGTTCTTGCCATATTTGTTACCTGGCAAATGTATTTACAAGAGTGAAGTAGGTGACACATATTTGTAGCCTCTGTACAATTTTGAACACAGTGATAAATATGTAGTTTATGAATTAACTCTGTAACCTATCATCTTTTAGCCTATCTGATCTTTTTGGAATAAAATATATAGACTTGGGGTTCAATATCTATAGTTCCAGAATATTCTCAGCCATCTGATTCTACTACAGGATAAAGTTAGACCAGAAATAAGACAATGTTAAGTAAAAGAAGCTACTTTTGCCTAGCTCGCCTCCTAAAGGCTCTATTTGTAAAAAGAGTACAGGTCAGAAATCTAATACCTCAATAGATCTTTCCAAGATACCATCCCATTGCTGAACTGTAGTTTCTTTGTTTTTCAAATGGGGACAAAATTACTGCCCTACCATCATGTAGGAACGATTTATAGATTCAGTGAGAATATACCAAAGTACTTGATTTATTCAAGAGGGGAGGAATCACTTAATAACCTGTTTTGACAAAGAAGACATCCTGATAAAATATATGTTGCATTTTAGAATCCCTGGGCTTCATACATTGTTTTTATAGTTTTTATGAATCCAGCATAAGGTGAAAAGTGAAAACTAAATTTTTAGATGCAAGAATATGGTATGTCTTCCCACCCAAGCTTACACTTTTAGATTCTATTCTACTCATTTTATCAAGTATAAAAACAAATCTCAAATAACATAAAATAGGAAAGACATCAGGACTTCCTTTGCTTTTGAAAAACAACTGAGAAAAAAACAGGAAATTCTTTATGGAGATACAGAAAAAAGTTGTTTTTATAGTAGTTAATGCACTCTTCTTAGGCATTAAGACACATTTCCATTTGTAACCTTAATACGGACATATTTTTACTCTCGATAAAAATTATCTCCCAATAAAAATGGAGTATTTCACACACTCAACTTTAAATTGCATCACTAATACTGTAGTTATACACAGCAATTTCTAACTTCTTAGAATATTCTTCATAACAGATTTTAACCACTGGAATGAATAATTTCTCAGAAAAGCAGAACTGCCCCAATTGCAATATGATTTGATAGTCCATACTCCTGTTTTCCAATTAAAAAAAAGATTTTGTGAGCAGAAACTTCTGGGTTCCTTGTGGTTTCATTGATCAAGAGAACATCTCTGAGCAGCTTCTGAAAAAGCATTTCTTAACAGGTTGATCACAGATATGGGGTCTTCACTCCTCATAATAGCACTGATGGACACAATCATGTTAGCTAACGCCTCTGCACACATGTGGAGGGTGTCAGAACCTGCTCCACCACCAACCTCCCCATCCAAAGATAGGAACTGGGTCCTCAACCACTGAAATTTTGACACCATATCTTCCGTGAATTTCTGCCCTCCAAATCCAGGTTCCACTGTCCTAACTAAGGCCATCTCTTGCAGACTAGCTTGAGGTGCCAAATACTGAACTGTAGTTTCTGGCTTGACAGCAAAGCCTGCTCTCATTCCATTTGCCCAAATGACTTTAATCAAATCCCCTGGATTCTCAGTAGCCTCTAGATGAAAGATGTACTGATCGACTCCTACTTCAGCCATCGATTTTACCCACTGTTTGGGCCCGGACACCATCATGTGCATGTCAAAGAACAGGTCCTGACCTAGATGCTTTTGAAGGCTTTCTACCACAGAATGACCAAAGTTGAAGTTGGGAACGGAGTGCAAAAAAAAACCGACCCCTCTAAAGAGCGAAGTGCCCTTCCATTACATTCAGGTACAGATCATCGGACCCAGAGTCAAGCATCCAGAGGCACTCAGCCTCTAAATCGAACAGGCCACTGTTGAGGATAGATGGGCCAATCTTGCAGCCCAAAGCCATAGACTGGTCTATGTCATTTACAACATAGTATTTGCTCAATCTATTATGAAAGCATATCTATTTCTTCAATACCCTTCCACTGCATCATATTAGCATTTTATTTAAAGAGAAACACACCAAGAAATTAGCTATCACCCATAATCTCACCACTTAAAAACAATCATATAGTTTTTCATTCTTCTACCTGTTTCCTCTTTCCGGTCTCAATGCCCCTGTTCCTAACTCTCACTACTGCTAGGAACAATTTGGTTGATGACTGCATTACGGACAAGCATTCTGTTTTGGCATTCTTATGTTTAACTTAAGTGTGGTGATAATTTCCAAGGGTTTAAGAGTTCTCTCATTGCCTGGACATCATTTTAACTTTTCTGTGCAAAAGCCAATTCAAATCCCAGTGATTGCAGACAACCCTAAGTTCCCTTTTCATTTCCTGTATAAACTGTAAGCACCAAATAAATAGTAGCTCCCTGCCACCATAATCATGGTGATGAATTATAGACCATGAACTACATATCCAGTAATCAGTAAGAGATTTTTGCATACATTCTTCTTTAATCCTCACCAAGACCCTGTTCTATGTGGTCAATGTAAATGTCCCCATTTTATAAGTGAGGCTCAGAGATTAAATAAATTGCCCAACATCACTTCTACGCAAAGGTTCACATCTAGGTCTGGCAGAATCCACCAGCCCTACTCTAAATCAGGGATGGGCAAACTACAGTCAAAACCAGTTTATAAACTACAGCCCAAGCCAGCTCACCACTTGTTTTTGCACAATCTGAGAGCTAAGAATGAACTTCACATTTTTTCATGGAAGGGGGAAACAAGAATAGTCTTTAGTGACACATAAAAACTACATAAAATTCACGTTTTAGTGCACATAAATTAGGTTTTATTGGACAACAGTTACACTCACTTGTTTTGTGTTATCTATGGCTGCTTTCATGTTATCACAGCAGATTTGAGTCACTGAATAGATGCAACAGAGATAGAATGTCTCACACAGGTTAAAATATTTCATATCACCATTTGAGAAAAAGTTTTCCGATTTAGATAACCAAGCACCACCCAGGTGATAGCTGGTAATATGCTACATCATTCTTGGTTTGGTCAACAAACCTGAGCTACCACAATATCATCATATTAGAGGGTTTGATATAGGAATCAGGAGCTTACAGGAAAGTGGAAGAAGCTAGATGAATGAAAATCTGGAAGATTCAGCTGGAGGATCAGGAAAACAGCCACTATTAACCTCAGTTTGGTGGGTGAAGACAGTAGAGCTTGTGGAGAACCAGTACGTCTGGTTGCACAACCTCAAAAAGGGTGTTCAGGAGGAGCCCTGCAAAGCAACCGTGTCGGGGTCAAGAGGTCCCAAAAGTGATGGTTTCTTTTCACTTTTGCTTTCCAAATCTCTGCAAATTGCTCCCAGTGGCAATCCAGCATGTGTCCCAACTAGCGTTTGGCAGTAGACAATATTTCAGTGGTAACTAGTACCAGCAAAGAGTCTGCCATCTTGTCTATGGTGATGGGGATGCAAATTGGTCCTTAGGAGCGGGGAGGTTAGGATGATGCCTTCCCAACCCATGTCTGTTAAGTATTATAGGTTTGCCTGCCTGACCCTCTACCATACCCCTCATTCACTGCACTTACTCTGCTTTTCTCCTTTCGGATTGGATCCAGTCTTGAACCCCAAACCAGTCAAATGAGTACCTGGCATTTATTATCCTCATCATCGTCTCTTTGTCGTTAAAAGAAACCTCCAGTTAAATAGTGCCTACTTCCTCCTTTGATCTGTATTTTATAAACATTATCTCATTTAATCCACTCAATAATCTTTCCAGGTAAGGGAGATTTAACCTATTTTTACAGATGAGGGAACCGGTTAAGTGAAAAGGTTCAGAATATAGCCAACTTTGCAGTGTAAATGACAGAGTTAGGCTTGAATCTCTGCTTTGTGTAATCCCCAATCCCAGTTCCCTGAACCCCGTGCTATCTGCCACAGCCAAGTTCATCCCAGACTCTGCTTCTGGTACCCTTCCATTCACTTTGGCCTACAAGTCAGAGAGCTTTTCTTTGCTGGTTATCTAATAACCCATAACCATGTTCACATCTCCCTCCCTCGAATTAGAACCCTGAAAACAACTAGATTTCACTAAACCTCTTAGTCCACATCATTAACTACTGACTTCCTCCTAGATGGAGTGGGGAATCTGCTATATTGTCCTTCTGGTTCTTTTTTAGCAAAACGCATGGCATAGCATCAGTTGACCCATTTGCCCTACTAGTTCTTTTTTTTTTTTTTTTTTTTGAGTTGGAGTCTCACTCTGTCGCCCAGACTGGAGTGCAGTGGCCGCTCCCGGCCACTGCAGCCTTGACCTGCTGGGCTCTGGCGATCCTTCCGCCTCAACCTTCTGAGTAGCCGGAATTACAGGCATGAGCTACCATGCTCGGCTGATTTTTTGAGTTATTGTAGAGATGAGGGCTCGCTGCCCAGGCGGGTCTCGAACCCACGGGCTCAGGCAATCCACTTACCTCAGCCTCCCAAAGGCGCGGGATTACAGGCTGAGCTACCAAGCCCGGCTTGCCCTACTAGTTTTTTTTTTTTTTTTTTGAGTTGGAGTCTCACTCTGTCGCCCAGACTGGAGTGCAGTGGCCGCTCCCGGCCACCGCAACCTCGACCTGCGGGCTCCGACGATCCTTCCGCCTCAGCCTTCCGAGTAGCTGGAATTACAGGCATGCGCTACCATGCCCGGCTGATTTTTTTATTTATTGTAGAGATGAGGTCTCGCTGCCCAGGCGGGTCTCGAACCCACGGGCTCGGGCAATCCACTCACCTCAGCCTCCCAAAGGCGCGGGATTACAGGCTGAGCCACCGAGCCCGGCCCTACTAGTTCTTAATACACAATATGTATAGTCCAAGGTGTTCCTAACTACGAAAACAGACAGCTGTTTAACAAGTAGTTTCCTCTCCTAAGATAGTATAAGTAAGAAAACAAGTGTGGGTTCTGGCATGAGACTGCCCGTTTTAATCAGGCTCTATCACTTGCCACCCATGGGTGTCCTAACCCCTGTGCTTCAGTTTTCTCCTCCATAAAAGAGAGATAGTAATCTTGCCTACTACATAGAATTACTATGAAGATTAAGTCAATGAAGACATGCAAATAACTTACTGCAATTGGATACTTAATATAAGCACACACTGTTGACTGTTTATTATGATTGTCTTCATAAATCAAACATTTCAGAAAACACTTGCTTTTCAAAATTATGCAGAGTACACTTTCCTACCCAAGCCAATTTGAACAATTGTTTCTGGTATGATGAAATGGTTTCAGTATAATGATGATAAAAATAATTAATACTAGTTAGCCAGTATGGTGCCTTGTGATTCGAAAATAGCTTTCTCATTAATCATGAACATGCACAATTCTTTTTTTTTTTCATGGCCTAAATCTCCAGTTAATGGATTCTGAACCGAGGCTGTGTCAGAACAGCCAGAAGGTGTGTGGATTTGTGGAGAAGCAGAGAAGGGCTTGGAACGCTGGTGTTCAATTACTAATGCGTGCGGGACCCTGCGCAGCTGATCTGCATGCTAATTGCCTTGCCAGAAACCAGATCCTGCAAAGCAGACACAAACTGTTAGCGACATGCTCTCTCCTCCCTTTCTCCCTCTCCCATCTCTCTTCTTTTTTGCTCTCTATCTCCATTGTGCAATTTTTTTGTCACCAAAAAAAGAGAAACACGCCACCTTGTCCCCAAAATGAAGCAAGCAATCTGAAAATAGTGAGTCACTGATGGAGTCTCTATAGCGAGAAAGTAATTGTCAAAATGACCGTTGGGGTCAGGCACATTAAATGGCTTTAAACATGAGGATGACATGGTCAGATTCGCATTATAGAAAGATCCGCCTGTGAATATAAGAAAAGGGATTGAAGAAGAACTAGCCTGAAAGTAGGGGGTGGCTATTACAGTAATCCAGTGTGATATTATAGTGACCTAAACAAGATGCTATAAAATGAAGAGAAATGGATAAATGTGGGAAGCAGTTATGAATTTGAATTAAAGACTGACCAGATAAGGGCTTGAGGGAAAAGGAAAAGTTAAGGACGGCACCCAAGTGTCTGTCACAGGCAACTGGATCCTCTCAGCCTAGAGATAATTAGTAATACAAATTATTATTTGATTGAATGGTCTCACACATCCAATTTATTAACTAAATAAGTCAATATATTCCTATTAATGTCGAGACGATTAACCCACCAAACATTCTATTATGAGAGAAACATTGACAGAAGTGTTTAGGGAGCAATCACCTATTCCATAGCACATATGTGCTGTGCTGGGTACCAGGAATGGGATAGAGATGGAGATGACATATAACACAATACATGCAGAGCAAAATTGGTGTGTATTAATAAAAATAACATACTTTCCAGCAAAAAAAGTAACCCATTGAGAATCACGACATTTTGTAAGAAATAATATTCAATCTTCAAATTACTCCCTCTCTGATGTATAAATTTGCATTGTGTTTGCATATATATAAACATATGTTTGTGTGTGCTTTTTTCCAACCAAAAGAAGGAATATCTCTTCATGTAGGCATAAGTAATTTTACAATAAAAAATTCTGAAAAAAATAGTTTGGTGTGTATTATAATAAGGTATTTTTAAAAACTTATTTCATATAGAAATATAGGGAAACAGAAAAATTAATTCCAACCCGCCAGAATAAACAGTGGCTTCAGAAAAATGCAGCATTTAAGCTCATTCTTGAAGAATAAGCAGAATTTCAACAGCAAAGACAATTCTCTGATTAAATGGCTTATGCAAAAAATCACAGATGCGTGTGTGTGCTCACCACATCCCAGGAATGCTGAAGACTACATTTCTTCGCACGTTTGACATGAAATGCATTATCAACATACCAGAAGCTGGCAGGTGTGGCAGAGAGAAACACATTGAATGCACAGATCAACTTTAAAATGCATCTTATTTTGA